CTGATATTTTTTTTTTTTTTTTTTTTTTTTTGTTGCTCAGAGTATTTTATGGATGCTTTTGTGGTAGGAGTAGTGAACATACTTAAGAGCTGACTTTAATATCTTGAATTGTACTAATGCATCTGGACATTCAATTGTCCATTTAAGTTTTGCTGAATTTTTAAGAAATGAAGATAGTGATAGGTGAACTAATTCTTAGAAGGAAACAAACCATGTAAACCTTCCCGAAGGAAGGGGAACGGATGAAAATCACATTGGAGGAAACTGTATATTGTTATGTATTGATGTAGAACCATAGTTCCATATAATCCTCAATCAATTCTTCAAAATTATTGGCTTTATCTGGTTGAATCATGTTCTTTCCTTCGGGTTTGAACTAAACTCTAGTTTTCAGGCATATACGAGAAATTTTGTAATGCTTTCTCAAAAGCTGCGCAAGATCTGCAAGTTGGTGATGGGTTTGGTGAAGGTGTTGCTCAGGTAGTTTCTCGTGCCTACAATCCTTGATTCAATTGTGATTGTCAGTCTTTTCTCTGTAAAGTTATCTTCCAAGCTCAAGGTAATTTAATTTTGTTAATTGCAAAGAGTATGTATTTGCTCCTTTAACCCTCCATATTGTGTTACACCTTTGTATTGCGAAGGATCTCTTATCTCGAGTGCTATGTCATCAACCCTTCGGAGTTAAAATCAGGATCGATGGATAAAGGAAACTAAATTCTCTTTTGAAAAAATAAGTTACAAGAAACAGGAAATTTTTTTCGGAATATTAGCTAGCTCTTGGCACCAAAAACAGGAATTCCGAATGCACACTCATCTTATACAATTTCTTTAGTCACAGCTTTGAAAGAGGGTTTACAACCAACTTTCCATTTAAACATAGTCGTTTTTGTCATGACGTTTTTGTTCGTATTTCGGTAAGCAAAAAGAGTTTGAAGCACAAGAATTTTCAGATCTTTTGAGCAAGGTAGGTCTCTATCTTTCACTCATGTGTATAGTACCCGAAGGATCACCAGATGATTGTAGTAGAGGTATATCTTTCTACCGCTGATGGAAATTCCCAATTTGGAGAAAGAGGACTTGTCTGATCTTACAACCTCGGTGTCTTAAAAAGCCCCTTCTTTCCTTCTTTCCTTTTTTGTTATTGTTGAAGGCAAAGTCAGCCGGTTTTCGATTCTTTCTTTTTCTATTTATTCTGGATTAGTTTTCTTCGTTGCTTATTCCTGGATTCCCTATCTAAATACAGTTGCAATTACCCTCCTTTTTGCGTTAGTTCGAATGGTATAGTTCTTTCTAATCTTTACCTCTGTTCTCTGGTTTTACTCTTAAATGATATCATACATTTCTTATTTGAAAAATAGAATGGCACACTTTTTCTAACAAGCACATTATGTAATATTTAATTTAAAGTAAACTTCTTTTTAGTTGAAGTTGAGTTCTACATTACTTTGATTCTTGCTTCTTTTTTTTCAGGGTCCTTTGATTAATGAAGCTGCCGTGCAGAAGGTTTGTTTTGTTTTCTTCACGTTACCCATCAAATCTGCATTATTGCGACAATTAATTTGAGCAATTTCTGTATGCATTGATGCATGTGGACCTTTTCCTGACAGGTTGAGAAATTTCTTCAAGATGCCATCACAAAGGTTTGTTTCTGACTTGGTATTTTGGAACTATTAATTACTATTATAGTAGTGATTCATAGAAGTTCGGCTAGTTTATTACTTTAGGTTTAACTGGAAAATGGTAAACAACTATTTATAATTAAAAGCGAGTAGAGAAATATATGGTAGATATTTACATAAAGTAGGTGGTTATATCTGGTAAAACTATATATAGTAAACTGAAACCATATATAAACCCTTAGCTCTGAAGATTTACTTTCTACCTCCTTTGTATTCTCTACTATACATACCTCAAGTCATTAATATAAACCTTCATTTTCTCTCTCCTATTCTTTGTGTTGTCATTAATATAAACCTTCATTTTCTCTCTCCTATTCTTTGTGTTCATTAGATTGAGTGTGTGAGTTGTTGTGCGATCTTAAAAGTTGCTTTATTCTAACCTCTAATTAGTCCTCTTCAGTGAACTTTCTTAGTTATTGAAACGATATTATATGTTTACCTTCAACATTTCCTTCTTATCTACAGTACCTTGAGTGATTGGCATCCTAAATATGAACATACATATGCCAGTGAAACTTTCCAAAGGGGTTGAAAGGTCTGAGAGATGTTTTGTGTGTTGCTAGATTTAATGTGTACTCGTTGGCTTTTGTCAGCCAGTCTTTTTTGTAGTTGTCAGTTGGGTCGTAGTATTCAAGTCCTTTTTTGATAACCTTCTTCTAAGAATGCCTTTGTATATCCTTCATTTGTTCTTTATGAATCTATGAAAGCTGGTCTCTCATAGAAAAAAAAGCTTTCCAAAATTTGGGGTGCTGATATGTTTATGTTTATGATTACCCCATTTATTTCCAATTTGTGTAACTAAGAAATCTTTTGAAGTTCACTCAGTTCTCTCTCCCACTCTCTCCTTCCTAATTTTCTTCTGAAGGGAGCAAAAGTTGTTCTTGGTGGTAAAAGACACAGCCTTGGGATGACATTTTTTGAACCTACGGTCATTGCTGACGTGAATAGTGATATGCTTTTATTCAGGTATTAATGTTGCATTTTACGTCCTTCAAGAATTTTGAGCTGGCTAATTAAGGGGAAGGTCACGGGTTTATTAGGAAGCAATACTATCTTCATTGGTACGAGACTGTTAGTGAAAGAGGGATAGATTGAATGATTAATGAGAAGATTGAATTATGAAGAGCAAGAATGCTCCATATTTATACAGAGAATACAAAAGATATTCAGAAAATCTACCTAAAAATCTGCAGAAAATCGGGTAACAAACCAGTAAACAAATCAAAATAAAATCTAATCAAATAAAAAACTAAATCTAACTCCTAACGGAGATTTATTAGTAAGCAATACTATCTTCATTGGTACGAGACCTTTTGGGAAAACCACAAGCAAAGCCACGGGACTTTATGCTCAAAGTGGACAATATCATACCATTGTGGAGGGTCGTGATTTCTAACATGGTATCATGGTCATGCCCTTAACTTAGTCATGTCAATAAATAGAATCTTCAAGTGTCGAATAAGAAGTTGCTAGCCTTGAAGGTGTAGCAAAAAAGTGACTCAAGTGTTGAACAAAAGGTGTACTTTGTTCGAGAGCTCTAGAGTAAGGATTCAAACCTCGATTAAGGGGAGGATTGTTGGGAGAGAAGTCTCACATTGACTAATTAAGGGGAAGATCATGGGTTTATAAATAAGGAATACTATCTTCATTGGTATGAGATCTGCTTCGTGCCTCTGGTTCTATTTAATATCAGGGAGGAAGTATTCGGTCCCGTGGCACCCTTACTGCCATTCAGAACAGAGGAGGAAGCAATTGGTCTCGCTAATGACGCCAATGCAGGTATTGCTATAGCGCCTATCCATTTACCACCCTCAATAAATTGTGTTTCCTAGAGGTTTTTAGGCCATCAGTTCCCTAAATTTTGATTATTTCTTACAGGATTAGCTGCTTGCGTATACACAAATAATATTCAACGTTCATGGAGAATGACTGAAGCTCTTGAATATGGAATGGTTGGTGTTAATGAAAGCCTAATTGCTACAGAGGTAAGCCTATGTGGAGGTGGTACATTTTTTATTAGAGGAAATGTAGAGTGGGTTATGACATTCCCCTTATGTCTTACTGCAGGTGGCTCCATTTGGTGGCATTAAACAGTCAGGCCTTGGTCGGGAAGGATCCAAATATGGGATGGACGATTATCTTGAGGTATTATTCATCCCCTGTTCTTTGCATTATCCAATCTTTCTTCTGCTTGTTGTTTGCCTCTCTTTTAGGCTTTCCCTTCCCAGCTTTCCTTTAGAGTTACTTTAGAGTTTTTAAGACGAGTTTACTAGAGAGAGGTTTCCATATTCTTACAAGAAATGCTTCGTTCCCCTCATCAACTAATGTGAGATCTCACAATCCACCCCTGTTGAGGGTCCAGCATACTCGTTGACACACCATTCGGTGTCTGACTTTGATACCATTTGTAATAACCCAAACCCACCGTTAGCAGATATTGTCCTCTTTGGGTTTTCCTTTCTTGATTTTAAAATGCGTCTACTAGGGAGAAGTTTCCACACCCTTATAAGGAATGTTTTGTTTCCTTCTCCAACTAACGTGAGATCTCACAATCCACCCCTCTTAGGGGTCAGCGTCCTCGTTGGCACACCATTCGGTGTCTGGTTCTGATATCATTTGTAATAGTCCAAGTCCACCGTTAACAGATTTGTCCTCTCTGGGTCTTCCCTTCAAGATTTTAAAACGCATCTACTATAGGGAGAGGTTTCCACACCCTTATAAGGAATGCTTCGTTCCCATCTCCAACTAATGTGAGATCTCACAATTCACCCCCTTGAGGGCCAGCGTCCTTGCTGGCACACCATTCGGAGTCTACTTTGATATCATTTGTAATAACCCAAGCCCACTGTTGACAGATGTTGTTCTCTTTAGGCCTTTCCTTCAAGATTTTAAAACGGGTCTACTAAGAGGTTTTCACACCCTTATAAGGAATGCTTTGTTCCCATCTCCAACTAATGTGAGATCTCACAATCCACCCCTCTTGGGGGCCAGCGTCCTCGCTGACACACCATTCGATGTCTGGTTCTGATATCATTTGTAATAGCCCAAACTCACCGTTAACAAATATTGTTATCTTTGGGCCTTCCCTTACAAATATTGTTCTCTTTGGGTCTTCCCTTCCGGGCTTCCCTTAAAGATTTTAAAACACGTCTATTAGATAGAGGTTTCCACACCCTTATAAAGAATTCTTCGTTTCCCTGTCCATCCAACGTAGGATCTCACATTTTCAAACAAGTTTCTAAAAATTATACTCGTTTTCTCTCCCATTTCTTGATTTTCATTTTCCTTTTGTAGGGAAACATTGAATTCTTTTAACTAAATTTAAACAACAAAACAAATTTTTAAAAATTACTTAGAAACCTTCATAAAAAGTAGATTACAAAACAAAGAAAACTATGGATAGAAGTAGCGTTCATAAGCTTAATTTTTCAAACGAACGAATCTCTCGACATTGATCTGCTTGTGAAATGTAATAGGCTTGTGGTTCATTTTTTAAAATAGAATTTATAGCACTTTCTCATTAACATGATTGCAGCTGAAATACGTTTGTTTGGGGAACATGGACGGCAACTGATGAGCTGAGTGCTGCAAGTAGCGTTAAGCTACAAACAATGGGCTTGGTCTTGGGCTTGTGTGATCAAATCAAAACCAGATAGGCAGAGGCCTATAAAGCCTATTCAGTAGTAAGTTTCATAGCGTTTTGATGCTATTCATTGTGACCTTATCTGTTTTCATGCTTTCCTGATCAAATGTAGAGGAAAAAACAAACCATCAGTCCACTTTTAAGACAGTTTAAGAAGCTTCTCAAAATAGGTTTACGATATGCTTGAAGACGATAGATTCTCGAGCTTCTTGCTTATCCGTTACCCCGAACCCGACCTTGACCCTAATGCTAGTTTCTTAACAATTAAGCAATGATAAAATTCACAAAGTCTCAAGAGTTGTCCTGGACACGTAAATTGCATACAATTCTAGGGGTAATTAGGGCATAAAAATATTCTACAACAAAGATTTTCTCTGCCCCAGTAGATGATTAGTCAGCCGTACATGGCAAATCTAGAGAGACTAGATAAAAAAGCTAAGGAATATATTCATTTTAAAAGAGTAGGAATTATTCTTTTTTTAAATTTAAAAAAAAAAACATGCTTAAAATTCAAGCAAAAATGTTCTCCACACTAAACGAACCCACTTTTTTTTTTTTTTTTTTTTTCTTTTTCCAAGGGGGACTTTTATGATAATATTGAAAATTTAATGGGCTAAAAGGCAAAGCCTAAATTTGCTTGAAGGGGCTTCAAAGTTTGATATTTGCATTAATTCCCCCATGTTTGATTGAAAAACGCTTTGATTTTATTGCACATCGATCAAGGCATGCTTGTAAAAGAAGCGATTAAAAAAAAAGGGGTTGGTTTATTGAATTTTTTATATTCATTTAAGCATCGTTTTGTTTTATTAAGATGCGAATTAAGTCTCACGTCAATTTAAAAGTTTGGACATTGTTCAACAACATATTCTCTTGCTTAAGACGTTACATGTCTTATCTCTACTAAAACAAGTATATAAAATGTATCATAACTTAAGACGTTAAATAACCCTAAATTATATGGAATTTATGACTATATACTTGAGTTTAAACATGAAGATAATATCCCAAAAATCACTTTGGTCAAATGATTATAGACCAGGTGAGAATATGGGCTATCATTATCAAATTTCATTTAAAATCAACTCCGAAATGTAATATTATTGCATAATTTGATTCTATCATTTCACTCTAATATCATATTGAAAGAAGTCTTTATGCACGTGTGAAAGTTGTGCGTTAATGATTTTAAAATAGAATTGTATCTATGAGGGTAAATTGATATATACGAATATTAATTAGGGTTTTGATTTTTTGAGTTTTCGGTGTGAGAGAATGCAATGAAATGAGGAGATGAAATTTTTGATTCCCGACGAGAAAACTTTAGAGGTTAGTAGAGAAAAGAAAGCGAATGGAATTAGGTCCACCATGATGGGTGTGCCATGGCTGATTAAAAAACAGAGCCTTTTCATGTTGAGAGGCTCTATATTTTTCTCACAAGAACCTAACAAATCAACCAACTCCAAATAGCATAGCATAAAGTTAAAAGGAATTGGTTCCCATTCATATCTGTAACTTGCTTTTGTTTTTGGAGCTTTCAATCCCATCCATTCAATTATGATCTTCTTCTTTCTTAGTTTCTTGTTCTACAACATTGAATCTTCAAACCCTTTTGAATTTGAGCTCATATTGCACTAATGGAGGCATTTTGAAGCCGACCCAAATCGATCAAAAGTGATTTTGATCCTCGAACGGTTAGGAATATGATCCAAACTTGGGATTGGACGATTTAGTCAAATATCGCTTCAAGAAGGATGAAAATCATTGTAAATTAACAGTGAGAAAACAAACACTGTTTCGAGCTAAACTAAAAATCTTTGAATTGAACGATGATTCAACGGGGTTTTAGATAGATGTACTGTGAGATCTTACATCGGTTGGAGAAAAGAACAAAACGTTTTTACAAAGGTGTGGAAGCCTCTTCCAAACAGACGCGTTTTAAAAACTTTGAGGGGAAGACTCAAATACGACAACATCTGTTAGCGGTAGACTTGAAATTGCGTCTAAAATGAAATTTCTTTTTCAAAATGATGATGGGAAAGTGTTTGAGTGATTGTAAATAATTAAGCTAAAAAGTGAGCCGTGGTACGACACAAAACACAAAGCAAAGCATTAATATGGGAAAGGATAAAGGACCATTTGTGATGATTACATGAAGAGGGTTTTCCTTTTTAAACGAGAGGCGTCGGAGAAAGGACTAACGAACTACTTACCTGTATTTAGTTACTGTTATGTGAATAAAATGACGCCTCAGCTCGACTCAAGACCAAAATAAGCTTAATAAGCTAAGAACAAAGCAATACCCGTCTACTGTTTCATCAACTTTCAAGTTTAACGTGTGTGAGGTTGGAGTGTTATGTGAGTAAAATGATGCCCCAACTCGGCTCGGGACCCAAATAAATTTGCTAAACTAAGAACAAAGCAACACCCATCTACTATTTCATCAACTTTCAAGTTTAACAAGTGTAAGGTTGGAGCGTTATGTGAGTAAAATAATGCCCCAACTCGACTTGGGACCAAAATAAGTTTGTTAAGCTAAGAGCAAAGCAAAACCCGTCTACTGTTTCATCAACTTTCGAGTTTAACGAGTGTGAGGTTGAAGAATGGAGCTTCGTGATTAAGAAACGTGATAAGTTTTCGAGTTACTGATTTGGACACTTATAAATTTATGATGACGAAATAAATGAAGTAAAAGAGTGAACGTTTTAACTTCCTATAATAGTTAACCTCATATCTTATAAACAAGGACGGTTAAGAATAGTTAACCCGAACATAGCTAAAAAGTTAAAGCGGGTCTAGGGCTCTATTCGCAAATTTAACATTATAAAGGACCAAAATGAAATTAAAAAAGAATTCATGTGAGAGAAAGGAGGAGAGAGAGAGAGAGAGAGAGAGAATCTTTTGTCAAAAGTGTGTCCCTGTTGTTTGTGGTGACTATGGCAAAATAAAAACCAAAGCAAAAGCAAAAAAAGAAAAGCACCCTATTCCTCCTCCCTTCCTTGTTCCCCTGAATCTCCTCAGTATTTCCAGACACAACAAACCAAACCAAACCAAACCAAACCAAAACCTAAGCCAAAACAAAGAACAATTGACAATGTTTCATGCCACCAAGAAACCCTCCTCTATGACATCTTCCCATGACAGGCCAATGTGTGTCCAAGGAGATTCCGGTCTCGTCCTCACCACCGACCCCAAGCCCCGTCTCCGCTGGACAGTCGAGCTCCACGAGCGCTTCGTCGACGCTGTCACTCAGCTCGGAGGACCCGACAGTATGCACTTTTTCTCACCTTCGTTTTTCTTTTCTTTTCTTTCTTCTTTCTCCTTATTAGGGTTCATATCTCTTTTCAGAGGCCACTCCCAAGACCATCATGAGGGTTATGGGCGTCAAGGGCCTCACTCTCTACCATCTCAAGAGCCACCTTCAGGTAATTTCCATCTCCCGGGTCTCGATCCCGTCATATTTAAAAACTAAATTTATCATAATCCATCGACCTAAACTTTTGAATTGAGTAATAATTTGATAAAACATCGGCACCACCAAACATGTTTTGTGTTACTTTTCGATAATTCTTTACTGGGTCGACGAAACTTTTGAGTTTAGTGGTAGTTTAACGTCCTTTTTCTCTTGAAACGCGTTCAGAAGTTCAGGCTCGGGAAGCAACCGCACAAGGAATTCAACGATCAATCGATAAAGGATGGCATGAGAGGTGAGTTCCATGAAAGTTCCATATATCTTCTAATAATTCTTAATTTCAATTGATTTATGTATGATATGTGCAGCTTCAGCCTTAGAACTTCATAGAAACAGTGGATCTTCTTCCACCTTAATGGACCGTAGCATGAACGAGTAAGCCTCTTCATTTATTTATTTATTTATTTATTTTTGCTTTTCCTTATTTATTTATTTATTAAATTTTATTGTTAGAGGAGGTGGGGTTAAGAGTGAACACTTTATTTTGTGGTTTCTTGTACGACAAATGTTGTCGGATTCTCTAACTAACAAACAGCGTACTGAACAAATAACCTATTTTTCTGCTAGAATGCAATTGGAGGTCCAAAGACGGCTGCATGAACAAATTGAGGTCAGCTCATCATTTATTTTTGTAACATATTGACATGATACTGATTTTCGTCAAGTTTAAGCCGTTTAAGAGTGTTCATGGATTGACTCGGGTCGATTAATACATTTCTTATATCAAATCCAGTTGTTCGGGTTCTAAATTTTTTTTATGCTAATAGTTCTCATTAAATAAGTAACTAACCTAGCTACAAAATACCTAAATTAGATTGATTCGAGTTGTTTGAGTCATTTATTCAAAAAAAAAAAAAAAATTTGCTTTTTAAGAACCGCCACTCAATTTCAATATTTATTTTTAAAAATAAATTTAGAAGACTTAAAAAAATTATTTTTTTTAGTAGCGGTGGAAGAACGTAAATAAAATTAAAAGTTTTAAACAGTTTGATTCAACTCAACTTAATGCAGGGAAACCCACGAACCACCATAAAATTTTCATTTATTTGAGCTCAAATAAGTTAATAATCGAACCTAAATGGTTGATTGGATTTTCGGGTCATTAAGTTTTTAGAACGTCTCTAGGTATATTAGATACAAATTTAAAAACTCGAGGGGTATTAGATTTTGTTTACGATACAAAAAAAAAAATTTGTAGGTACAAAGACATCTTCAATTGAGGATTGAGGCTCAAGGCAAATACATGCAAAGCATATTGGAGAAAGCTTGCCAAACCCTCGCCGGCGAAAACATGGCCGCCGCCGCCGCCGCCGCCGCCGCCGGACGTTTCAAAACCACTTCCAACAATATTGGAACAACCACCAATCTTGTTTCAGACGCTGCCAACAAGGCCTTCATTTCACCTCCTCCTCCTCCTCCTCACACCTTCCCTCCTTTTCAAGACATCAACAACCTATTTACCTCGGAACCACCGGCGCCTGCGCCGCCTCTTATCGACTGCCTCAAGAAGCCGAACCCCTTCATCTCCGACACCGGTAAGACTCCCATTTTCTGGGCCGATGATCTCCGTCTCCAGGACTTAGGAACCCCGTCGGCCACCCTAGCGCCACCACCGCCACCCATCAATGGCTCGGCTGACTTGGACCCTCAACAGCTGGAAATGTATGAAACTAAGCCACCGCCACTGCTGCTCTCCGTTGGCAACGATGT